TTACAGCTGGGCCACCGGGGGTGACATCACATATTGATAGGACCATGATGCCGACCTGAGCTGCAAAACCAGCAAGTTTTTATTAAGGATTTCAAAAGGGGAGGGGGTGCAAGAACAGGGAGTAGGTCACAAAGATCACATGCTTCAAAGGGCAAAAAGGAGAACAAAGATCACATGCTTCTGAGGAAACAGGACAAGGGCAAAATCAAAAACTCCTGATAAGGGTCCAAGAAAGATCACAAGGCAAAGGGCAAAAGCAGAATTACTGATAAGGGTCTATGTTCAGTGGTGCACATATTGTCTTGATAAACATCATAAACAACAGAAAACAGGGTTCGAGAGCAGAGAACCAGTCTGACCTCAAATACCAGGGTGGGTTTTTTTCCCCACCCTAATAAACCTGAGGGTACTGCAGGAGATGAGGGTGTATTTCAGTCCTTATCTCAACTGCATAAAACAGACTCACCCAGCACAGCCGTTTACAGACCTCCCCCCTGGAATGCATTCCTTCCCCAGGGTATTAATTATTAATATTCCTTGCTAGGAAAATAATTTAGTAATATCTTCCCTACTTGCATGTCCATTTATAGGCTCTCTGCAAGAAGAAAAAAATGGCTCTATTTTGCCTGACCCTGCAGGCAGTCAGACCTTATGGTTGTCTTCCCTTGTTCCCTGAAAAATCACTGTTATTCTGTTCTTTTTCAGGATGCACCGATTTCATATTGTTCAAACACACATGTTTTACAATCAATTTGTACAGTTAACACAAATATCATAGTGGTCCTGAGGTGACGTACATCCTCAACTTATGAAGATAACAGGATTAAGAGATTAAAGTAAGACAGGTGTAAGAAATTATAAGAGTATTATTTAAGAACTGATGAATGTCCATGAAATAGTCACAATTTATGTTCCTCTGCCGCGGCTCCAGCCAGTCCCTCTGTTCAGGGTCCCTGACTTCCCACAACATCTGGGGAAGGGAGAAATGCCTCAGAATATTTTTATGTATGTATGTGTGTATGTATGTATTTATTTATTTTGAGACACAGTCTGTCACCCAGGCTGAAGTGCAGTGGTGCGATCTCAGCTCACTGCAACCTCCACCTCCTAGGTTCAAGCAATCCTTCCCCTCAGCCTCCCAAGTAGCTGGGATTATAGGTGCCCACCACCACGCCTGGGTAATTTTTGTATTTTTTAGTAGAGATGGAGTTTCACCATGTTGGCCAGGCTAGTCTTGAACTTCTGACCTCAGGTGACCTGCCTGCCTCAGCCTCCCAAAGTGCTGGGATTACAGGTATGAGCCACTGTGCCCAACCTATTTTTAAAGCTCCTCAGGTGATTTAAATGATCAGCCAAATAAAAAGCCCTCATTTCCTCTAAAATTCTGAACCCATTTTGTAGTTGCATTAAAGATTGAAAAGTAATTCAAAAGAATAGTATCTGGTCAGTGCCAAAATGAAGTTTTCTATGGGAAGCTGCTTCTATACATGACAATGCTAAAATAGCACTTATTCTCATCTGTGCCACTTTGTAAATGTCACAACAAGCCTTCTTAACAAAGCCCTGTAGAGGGAGCCTGCCCTAAGGAATTAAAATTCACTGATTCGTTGGGATTAGCACTTGGTATTTTTCTCATATATTGGTAGTGCACACAAAAAGATGGATAACTTCTACCAACCTCTGAAACTGAATTGCTGAATATCACTGACATATTATTAATTATCTTATATCCTTTGTGACATCCTTTAATTCAAAACTCAGGACTGGCTGGAGGGAGAGGAGAATGGGCAGTTATTGTTTAATGGGTACAGAGTTTCAATTTGAGATGATTAAAATAATTCTGGAGATCGTAGTGATGGTTGCTGTTCCTTGTGCTTCTATGTGGATGCAGTCAAGTGCATCCACAAGAGGAGACACAGGAGATGTTCAGGAAAACACAGACATGGCAGATCGCTCAGGGCCACATGAAAAAGCATCGGTTTCAGTCAGGAGGCAGAGGGGCAGGAGGGTGGGGAGGATCTGGGCCAAGACTTTATTGGAGTTTCCACAAGAAAGGCAGAGCAGGGTAAACAGTTTAGGGTTGGTTAGGTGGAATAATTTCAGCAGGCTCTAAGCTATAGGGGTGGTCCCTAGTTGCCTGATACCTGGCACTGGAATGATTAAAGCAGAAGAATAAATATTTCCTCTGGGTGTATGGGCTAGATAGAAGAGTTCTGGCCCTGGATAGGTTAGTCTGTGTATCACAGATATGCTCCCAGCCTAACTCTTTGCTGTCTCTACAAATTAGCTAGCCCCTAGAGGGGCAGTCTCTCCCAGCCAAGAAGAATTTAAGATGTCAAAACATAATATGCAGAAAAGTGAAAATATAAAAAATATGATTGCATCACAATGTAAATGTATTTAATGTACAGCTGAAAATGGCAAAATGCTAAATTTTATGTTATATTTATTTTACCACAACTTTTTAAAATCCCAGTATCCGTAAGATCAAAAATATAGTAATCTAGGCAAAAGATAAGAACCAAAAGAAAAAAATGGGGAGGTAGAACACAAAACTTACATCAAGAATTTTGAGGGTCACTGAAGTATGTCTCTTCTCCAAGTATAAAGAAGGAACTGGCTGGGCGCGGTGACTCACGCCTGTAATCCCAGCACTTCGGGAGGCCAAGGCAGGCAGATCTTGAGGTCAGGAGTTCGAGACCAGCCTGTCCAACAGGGTGAAACCCCGTCTCTACTGAAAATACAAAAATTAGCCAGGCGTGGTGGTGGGTGCCTGTAATCACAGCTACTCAGGAGGCTGAGGCAGGAGAATCACTTGAATCCAGGAGGCAAAGGTTGCAGTGAGCCGAGATCACACCACTGCACTCCAGCCTGGGTGACAGAGTGAGATTTCATCTCAAAAAAAAAAAAAAAAAAAAAAAAAAGCAGCTGTCTTCTACAAAATATTGGTCACCTCCCAAAATGCAAATTTTAAGCAATTCTCAAAATTACCCAGCATAGTAGATGAAAAGGAAAGGAAACAGTACAGAATTGCTTCATCCTCTACAACCGTTTTTCACTTCTTATTATTCTGTCACGCTCTAAAGACATTCAGGAACTCTGATGTGGGTTATTCTCCCCTGAAAACCTGACTCATCTTAAAGTGTGAAGCTGCAACACCAGAGGCTATGCCTTTTCTGCACTTCTCTACTGGCCAATTCAGTGTGAGTATGTTTTCTGGCTAAACTAGATCATCAACTCAGCTGCAGGCCCTTTCTACAGGAGTGCTCAGTTATGCATCACATGTACACGTGTGTGTGCATATGTAATCACGAATGTGTTTTAATCTATAGACCTATGTGCATCATTATCCTGAATTTCTTACCTCCAAATCACTCCTTTCACACACCAGCCTGTATAGTTTTCATCCAAAATAGTTTAACTGACAGGAAAACTATTGCTCCATTGCATCTCCTCACCTAGCTTTCCCCTTCTCTCTGTAATCTGGGAAGCCTACCATCAATTCTTTTTCCTCACTCATCTGCCAAATCTTTTCTCCATTCCCTATGCCAAGATTCTCCAGTATAAACACCTATGGCTGCCAAACCTTCCTGCCCTTGTCCTAACGTAAACAAACTGAAGATGACTACCCTTTGCCCTCTCTGCAATTTGCTTTGTATATCCAGTTGCCAGATGCCTGTGGAGTAAGTACTAGGAGAAAGGAAACAAAATGCTCCTTCTTCTGCAGAAAGGGAGCGAAGAAAAGAGGGGCTTGGTCTCTAAAGCCATTGGTAAGAAAGACCCTGGAGCCTTATAAAGCACTGGTTTTAAATGACTAGGTGTGATCTACCTTTGTTTTCCTCTTTTATGTGAATTTTGTGGCAGTGTGATCTTTATCAAGATGCACTATTCCATTCCTTCCAACCTGCCCAAACATTTGTGTTGCTCCCTAAGTATCTAAGAAATTGTTTGAGAGCTGGTAGAGCAGTTTGGTCCACATGTAAAGATGTGTCAGCTTTCCAGTGTTCGGGACATTGTTCTGGGGCCTTTGTTAATACAGGCCTGCATGTAGCACACAGTGAGCACTGCACTGCCATCAAGAGAGTTGGAATTTGCATCCTGATTTGGCCACTAATCAGCTCTGGGTACTTAAGTAAATTATCTCATTTTCTATACCCCAGTGTCTGCATTTGTAAAATGGAGATAATAACAATGAACACTGTGGAGCACTTATGATGTGAGCACTGATGTAAGTAGCTTACACACATCACTTCCTATCATCCTTTCAGCAACTCTGTGAAGTGGGTGTGTTATTATCATCACCCATTTTAAAGATGTCAAAACTGAGGAAGAAAGGTGCATTATTAATATCTTGCCATTGGTCCCAAAATATATACAGAGCTAGGATTCAAACCCAGTCCAATGGCCAGAACTCATACTCCCCCTGAGGGTGTTCCATTGCAGACCCTGTCTCACTGAATTGCGATCATTCGATTTAGTATTTGGAAGTAAATGTAACATGTTATTAATTTTCCTGAAGTTCACTTCCCTATCTGTAAAAAAGAGAAAATCTCTAAGTTTCAGAGTTTCTCTAAGGAGTAGAGATAAAGCAGAGTTAGTACCCAGAACAATTCATGACACATATATTAGGTTATTGATACATTGGAGCTACTAATATTATCATTATTATTTATATTATTAAAAGATTCTATTCTAGGTGACAAGAAAAGTTTATTTCTGTCCATTCCCAATGACACCAGAACATTGTGCATAGTGTTAATGTTAATTGCATTCCACAGAAAGCATGCTTTCATTGAGTTCAAAGGGAAAAAATACATTCATTATGTTACAGTTTATATGAGGAAGAAAGGTGAGATTCCCACCACCCACCTTTCGTTCCCCCCCACTACCACAGACAAAACATGGTTTTGCTTTTAAATCTCAAGACATAACATAGGATCTAAGCCTGTCTACTGCTATGATGTAAAACTAACATCATTTTTCCTCTTTGCTTCTTACAGATTTTTGCATATATGAATGAAACCTCTTCCAGAAAGGAAAAGTGGGACCTCCAAGCTCTTAGGTTTTTATCAATTAATTCAATAATTGACCCTTGGGTCTTTGCCATCCTTAGGCCTCCTGTTCTGAGACTAATGCGTTCAGTCCTCTGTTGTCGGATTTCATTAAGAACACAAGATACGATACAAACTTCCTGTTCTACACAGTCAGATGCCAGTAAACAGGCTGACCTTTGAGGTCAGTAGTTTAAAAGTTCTTAGTTATATAGCATCTGGAAGATCATTTTGAAATTGTTCCTTGGAGAAATGAAAACTGTGTGTAAACAAAATGAAGCTGCCCTAATAAAAAGGAGTAAACAGACATTTAAGCTGTGGTCAAGGCTACAGACCTGCTGACAAGGCACTTCATGTAAAGTGTCAGAAGGAGCTACAAAACCTACCCTCAATGAGCATGGTACTTGGCCTTTGGAGGAACAATCAGCTGCACTGAAGATCCAGTTGCCTTTTGATTTAAGCTTTCCTGTTGAATGACAAAGCATGTGGTTTTGTAATTTGTTTGAAACCCCAAATAGTGACTGTATTTTCTATTTTAATCTTGCTACTACTGTTATAAACGTATAGTGTACAGCCAGACCAGATGAAGCTTCATATGTATGTAGTCTCTAGGAAGTCGATATGTGGAAGCAACCAAGCCTGCTGTCTTGTGATCACTTAGTGAACACTTTATTTGAACAATGAAGTTGAAAATCATAGGCACCGTTTACAGTGATGTTTGTGTATGTGGGAGTCACCACAGTACTATTCTTACAAGAGTGGACTCAGTCGGTTAACATCAGTTTTGTTTACTCATCCTCCTGGAAATACAGGTCAAGTTGTCAGGTTATTTATTTTATAACGTCCATATGCTAATAGTGATCAAAAAGACTTTAGGAATGGTTCTCTCAACAAGAAATAATAGAAATGTCTCAAGACAGTTAATTCTCATTAATACTCTTTATTTATCCTATTTCTGGGGGAGGATATACGTGGCCATGTAGGAAGCCAGATATTAGGATTAAAAACTGAAAATTTTGGTTCATTCTTCAGATATACTGGAACGCTTTTAATGTTGATATCAGGGCCATGAGTAAAATAGACTTTATAAGACGACTGTGTTGTACCAAAATTCATCTGTCTATATTTTATTTAGGGAACATGGTTTGACTCATCTTATATGGGAAACCATGTAGCAGTGAGTCATATCTTAATATATTTCTAAATGTTTGGCATGTAAATGTAAACTCAGCATCAAAATATTTCAGTGAATTTGCACTGTTTAATCAGAGTTACTGTATAAACTCATCTGAAATGTTACAAAAATAAACTATAAAACAAAAATTTGAAAATGGAATAGTATTTTATGAAGTCCCTCAAATAACATTTTGCAATTAATATAAACATAGTACCGTTTAAATGAGATCAAAGTGGAAAAATTATATTTAATTTGGCAGATTCGTAAAATGTGGTTGCCAGGTTTTAAAAGTGTGGTTGCAAATTAGAGTTTAAAATATTCATTATAATACTTGGTATTAGAAGATATTTTTTTCCTCCAGTTTTTACCCTTCCAGTATGATCCCTAAATTAGTAGAACCATCTTATTTTTTATATAGTGTTATTATTGGATAGCCACTCCTAAAAAAAAAAAAAAAAAGAAGAAGAAGAGAGAGTTGCTTGTTTTTTCCAAAGTCTCATTGAGTTGTTTACCAAAACTATTTCCTTTAAGCAGTTATCGAACTAGACGATCACTTAGAATGATTTCAAACCAATCTAGGCATCAGTGTATTTTGATACAAACAATCTACGTCAAATCAGCTCTTAAGAAGAATAAATAAGTGGTTTGCTTTTCTACAAATTTAAACAAGCCAGGCAAAATTTAACTAAAATCTCGACATATAAATAAATCTTCCCTGTCCACCAGGCATTCTAAAGTTAAGAAATTATTCTAAATGGGACTAATTAGGCCCATGGGTAATTCCTAAACATAAAATTCTGAAGTTGCTTTGAATCTAGAAGATTGATTCCTTTTATCAGATGACTTGTTTTTCTCCAGATGAAAATGTCAACTACAATTTTTCACCCCACCTTACCCCTCCCCCTAAAATCCCAGAATAATGCCTGAGAACTGAAAATAAAAACACAAAATTGGACATAATATCACTAGCAGGAACAAAATGATTCACTCTGGAGGCCAAAATATAAGAATTTAAGCCACTTATTTAAGCACTGGTATATTTCTAGAACTTTGTTTTCCTCATGTACTCCTGTTCCATGCACTGTGCTGGTATTTCATTTACACCAAAATATATGTAGAAAGAGTTGAAAGTAAAAATCCTCTGTAATAGTCATTACCTCCTATTAATGGCAATTTAAAGGTAACTTAGAAAAAAAATTACTAAAATTAGCTATGTAAATATTCCCTTTCTAAAAATCTTACCACATCAGACATACCTGTTTAAGTTACTGATTCATTATCAAGTTAAATAAAACAATAGAATTTACTTAGCCTGATATATTAAAGAACTGAATTGTGATAAAAGAAGATCTAGACTTTATTCTTTGCCCCCAGTAGTCAGAATGAAAAGGGAGAAAGAAACTATAGTTGGGATTCCCTGCAGCATGCCAGCCCTAGTAAGTTTAGGTGTTCGGATATGGGATGGACCAAGCTGTCTGCTCTGAGCTGAGTTGTTCCTCAGTGGTTCAGTGTGGCCCTGGTCATCTTTTCCAAGAAAGCACTGAAAAATTCTGGTACGAAATTGTGGCCTTGAATCTCCAAAAATCTGATTGGGATCTGAGTTTTCTTAGAAGGTATAAGATGACTCTGGAAGACCTGCATCACAAAGTGGGTTGGACCCGCGACAACCCAGAGCAAGACCGAAACTCTGGAAACCACTCCAACTCCAAATCATGATGCTTGCAGAGGCCTCGAACCCTGAGGAAGGAGGCAAAACTGATTCACATCACTACACGCCCATGTAATTCAGTTACACTTCGGCATCTCTGTCTCCTCAGCGTCAGTGCGCTTTGAGAGAGGGATTGTCCTAATGCTAATGGCAGGTCAGCTCTGATCTGAACCAAGAAATAACAACACATTCCAGTTTAGAATTTGGTGACTTTGAAAGGCAAGGGAAGACAATTAGCTCTCACTTAGGCAGAGTTTTGTTTATTTCACTTAGCTTAAGCCAAATCTAATGGTTTTTGGAACTTGGGAGGAGCCACTACTTGAGCCATTTACAGAGAGAGATGCATTCCTCTCTATATATGATTATTTCATTCATGTTGACTTGCAATGCCTACTCTTACTTGCTCTGTTACAACCTGAATATTTGAAGCCTCTCTTCTGCCTTCATCAAACACTCACTCCATTGGCTTTCCTCTCAATCACCTAACAGCACTATAATTGATTTTTAAATTTACAAGTCATTTTGATGACCTAAAATACATTCTATGGAAAGAAATATTATTTTAGCAATTCACAAAAGCTACATTTTAATTTATACATGGACCAAGGCCATGTATTGGGCATTACTTATTTCAGAAAATTACTTTTTTTCCCCCCGGCAGCTTTTGTGTTACTATACAAAAAAATTAAGTGCATTTTCTCGAATGATATATTTTTATTTCTTATGAAATGTATGTACTATTTAAGGTCAATTTTAGTAGTTTAATTCTGTGATCCATGTATTTCATGGCACATGATAAATCCTAATAAGGTTAGGTATTAGTATCATCTTAGATGCCCATTCAGTGGCCCCTCTGACCTCTTTACACACACCTGGCTCTTATTTCTGATTCTCAGTGGTGGTGGTGGGTGCTAGGGGTGATGCTATATATTTATTAACTCTGAGTAACTGTCAAGAAAAATGACAATACACAAATGGGATGAATTTGCATCTCATAGAATGCAGTGAAGATTGGTACACATGGGAGAATGTAGAGGACCGAGTAAGTATAAAAGAAAGAGGAGGCCAGGCGCGGTGGCTCACGCCTGTAATCCCAGCACTTTGGGAGGCCGAGGTGGATGGATCATAAGGTCAGGAGATCAAGACCATCCTGGCTAACACAGTGAAACCCCATCTCTACTAAAAATACAAAAAATTAGCCAGGCATGGTGGCGGATGCCTGTAGTCCCAGTTACTCAGGAGGCTGAGGTGGGAGAATGGCGTGAACCCAGGAGGCGGAGCTTGCAGTGAACCAAGATCGCACCACTGCACTCCAGCTTGGGCAAGAGTGAGACTCCATCTCAAAAAAAAAAAAAAAAAAAAAAACAGAGGAACAAGAGAGACAGAAAGACAACAGGGCATATGACACCTCACCATTTTGGTGCCCTCCTCCAGATCTTATCCAAGTTATCAATGCCCATCTAAAAACAGTGGGCCAGAACCAAACACCAGTAATTCTAAACCAGTCTTACCAATACTGAATGCTGATATTTCAGTTCCTGGCTTAATCTGGATATTATGTTTCTATTAATGCAGCCTGGGATTACAAAGCTATCTAGAAACCAGGTTGTATCTTTGAAACCTCCGACAGAGAGAAGAAGCAACAGCATTCCAGTTTACATAGAGGAAAACTGGGTGTGCAGGGGCCAAGTGAGTTGGTCACTAGAGACATCCTCATAAGATACCCTTATGATTATGGTGCTGATCTTGCCAACCTGAGACCACACAGCCATTTTGTTTCTCTCTTGTCTCTTATCTCTTGCTTTTGGATTGGCTGTGTACACTAGGGATGGGGAGCTTTGGGCTTGTCTGTTGAACCTGGTCTTTTGGGTTAATAATTTTGCCCCTGAGATTATGTGGAACTAGATGCCAGTGCCCTACCCCAGAGAACAGGAGTTCTCTTGAAGTGGAACTCACTGCTTTGAGTTACCAAACATTTTTACTACAGTTAATTGGCAATACTCATCTCAGTCCTAACAGTGTGCCTGACAGATCATGATAAATAAAAGGTTTAACAATTCAACAGTGGCACAAGCAAACCTTTGAAGACATAGTGGAGCCTTTTATAGCTCTTACAGAGCTCGTCAGTGTGGCCACATTGTGAAGTGTTCAGAGAACAAGCCAAAAAGCCCTAGGCTTTTGAAAATCCAATGTTAACTTTTTATGTTTTTAAAAATAAATGGCCTCATGTCCCCATAGGATGAAAGGTATGATAACCAAAACACTGTGGGCTGCATGTTGTGGTGTACTACTCTCTGACCTGTAAAAATAATTTTTTTCTGGTATGAGTAGGTATTCCGATAAAAGAAGAGCAAGCCTAATTGTAAACTAGAGACTTGACTCTCTTGACTACCTTTTATGGTGATGGGGGAGCTGGACACCCACTCTGAGAGGAAACACTTTCAGATGTTCACATCTTTCCATGACATGCCAGTCTGGAAAACTAAGGAGAGTGAAGAGTCAGATTCCTGTCTTCTACAAACTTCTTCTGTGTTTTCAATGAAGTTATAGTAAACTACAATGGCTGCAAAGAAATATTAAGTGGGGAAACAAAATTATCCTGTTATCAGTGTTAAAGGCTTTTTTGAATAATAAGGACTTTCTTTTGTTTCTCTATTTGAGCACATTAAAATGCTACTAACTGGAATCCTTCATAGCAGGAATTTTGGATTAAGAGACAAATCACGTGGGGGGAAAAAGCCTGATAACTTTATTTTTAAACTAACACACTGAAAGGTTAAGTGAGAATCGTGACACTGGGATTGGAATGCAGACGTCTAATCAGGGAATCTTCCATCTAGATGAACTTTCCATTGCCCAGGCCACCCCTATCTGCTCTCTTCCCTTGCTCATTGACTCCAACCACACTGGCCACCATGCTGGGCCAGGAGCACACCCAGCAAGCTCCCATCTCAGGATCACTGCCCTGGCTGTTATCTCTGCCTGCAACAAATGCTCTTCCTCCAGGCAGCCCTGGCTCACTTTCCTCACCTTCTTGAACATTTTGCCCCAGAGATGCCTCCTCAGTAAGGCCATTATTGAACTCTCTTCCTAAAACTACACACCCCTGCTCTCCCCATTCGCTTTGCCCTCCTCTATCATTTCCCCATATGAGTGACCTTAGACATACCTCAAGATTGACTTTTTATATAATACTCATGGTCTGTCGCCCCCGAGTAGAATGTGAGTCCCAAGGACAGATATTGCTGTCCGTTTTGATGTCTAATGTTACGGTATCTCACACTTGCCAAGTGTCCTATACATGTAGAATTGTATCTTACACATTTCAAGGTCTTTTTCTATTTTTTATTTACTCAGTGTGTTAACAGCAGTGAGGGTGTGTGGGTCTGCAGCAACTTGACTTTTGCCTCCCAGGAGGAAAGAATTTGGCTGAGGGCAATAAAGCA